GTTTGACCAACCTTCAGTTCGACAGCATCCTCAATCAGCTTCGGAATGTGCTTACTGATGATTTTCCTAGCAGAAACATATGGTTTTCCATATGTATGTTAATTTACAGTAGTGTAGTTAGTGTAAAATTGTTGGGACCGGCTGAAACCATGCTTAAGTTACTGTAATTTGGGAGATTCTCATCATTTTCTCAGAAAATTCCTGCGGAGTGTATCAACTGGAAACCTCCATCCGCACTTGCTGGTTGGTTTTCAACAGAAAAGTTGCTGGTTGATTCCAGCATTCCCAAATCCACGAAGTATTCTAGTTACTTAATCTTAACCGAATCCATCCCACCCATGCTTAATCCATCATCTTCAACCTATTTTTTATCAGCGAATCATTTTTTGGATCATTTTCCATCATTTTCCCAGTCATCAGCCGGGGCTACCAGGGCATCATGGAGCATGACATGGACGAGCATGGCATGGATGCCATGGACGACTTCCACGAGGAAATGCTCCGAAAAATTGGGGGATTTCACCATGAAAAAGATGGGTTTCGACCTAGAAAGCAGGTGATTTTTAATGGGGCTTGGCGGCTTAACATGGCACCATAAAGAAGTGGGGATGAAGTGGCAATTTGATGATTGAGAACGGTGATTTTCGTGGGGTTTAGTCATGAAACAATGGGAATTCAGCCAGAGTTCAGCCATGGTCAACACTAGACTCACTAGACGCGACGAAACCTGCCGGATTTTCAGGTACACAAAACACTAGACTCACTAGACGCGACGGGCGCTGTTTCTGACATTCCCCAAAAGGATCGGGTGCGTGTGAGCTTGCGTTTCATGGTGTTTCTGCCCCTTTTTCGCAGGACCACGAGATGGACCATGGGATGGACGAACACTATGATGATCACTATGACGAACGCTATGATCACGACTCCCATGACGACATGCACTTTGATCCAGAGGACTTCTTTGGGGTGGAGCAAAAGGGGGATATGGATGGATATGGAGGATCCGGTGCAATGGCAGATGATCTGTGTAAAAAAAAGGTGTTTTGAATTGTTTTGAAGTTTTGGTGAATTTGGCATGAACATACCACTTACATTCATCGATGTACAGGATATCCACACCATATTGGGGTGGACGAACGCCGATTCACCAGCTCAGCTATTTTGACGTGGAAAGCTCAGGCTCTACATCGGATTTTTGGTCACATTGGAGGGGTTGAAATCCCGACATCTCCGACAAATAAAATCTCATTGTAGGGGCTAACCCTTCCCGCGTGAGACAGATACCTAGAAACCCTGGTTTCGAATTGCAAGATGTGCCCAGGAAAAGACATGTTTCAAAACAATATCACCCGACTGTGGCTATTCATCTCCACCATCGATCCTGATTTGCGTAGGGGGTACAGTTGAGGTGTTACAAACTCTTCTGGTGAACTAACCCCCACAAGCTGGGATATAATCCTTATAGATCCTTATAGCTCTATCTATATCTACGCATATACATATATATATATATTAATATTCTCTTATATATATACACACATATTTGTATATATTATTCACTTAAAACTGGAACTGCAGCAACCCAAGTAGCGAAAAAGTAGTTCCAACCCAAGTCACGCAAAAAACCAGGAGAACTCGCTGGCTTTGGCCAGTGAGAAGGGGAGACTTGGCCGGTTGCGAACATGTTTCCCATGGGGATTTACCATCGGGTTATTTAACATAGCTATGGAAGCCATGGCCCATAGAAATAGATGATAAACATTATGATTTACCATTCTAAAACATGGTGATTTTCCATACTTACGTTAAATTACCAGAGGTACCAACCAATGTAACAGGGTTGCTCCACTCCATGCGTTTGGTAAATGTTAGCCACAAGAGGGACCCAGGGGACCCTGGGGCAACTTTACTGGGAACCGATTGACCAGGGTCAAATTTTTATGGATGATGGATAATTATAACATGTTTAGATCCACAATCCCTATTGATAAACATTTATAAACCAAAACATGATTTTGGATTCTTGGGTCTCTTTATGGACAGACCATATTTGCCATATTTCATAGATAAAGCACGGCATGAAATTCATCCAAAACGTCCCAATAATTTTTCCCTCGCTTATTTAAACACTCATCAGAAGAATCAGTTTTTTTTTCTGGTTGGTGGTTTGGGAATGTCATCATCCCAACTGACTTTCACTCCATCATTTTTCAGAGGGGTAGGCTCAAAACCACCAACCAGCTATTTTTTGTCCCCATATTTATCACCATTAGATCCAGAATTTCTGGGGTTTTTAGGGATCCACCAACCAGAATCTGTTTTTCATATTGCTTACGAGCCCCACATTTTTTTTTTTGGTTGGTCCCTACTCAAATCCGTTGGATTGGTATCGGAATGATGGTCCGACATGGTCTCACCATCGCCTGGATCAGCAGTTCCCACAGTTGGTTGAAGTGAAACTATGGTGATCCCTTTCTGGACATAGTATCTATAGATATCTATAGTATCTATAGATATCTATAGTATCTATAGATATCTATAGTATCTATATTAGTGATTTCCCACATTGAAGTGAAGCCAATGGCCATGGATCACCTTTTTCAACGATTTTTGTAGGGGATGAACATCGATCCCAGCTACATCCAATGGGAGTTTCAAACACCGGGGCGGACTCGCCAGCTACATCCAATGGGAACCACATATCATCCAAATATCATCGAGACTTGTCTTGTGAAAACTACGTATAGAATGTATAGAGTGGTCCTCCAAGAACCGTTAAGAACTAGGGTTTCAGATGGATCCATGAGTTTTAGAATCCGACATTTGCATAGATTTGCGGATTCTACAGCAGGGCCATCTCCGTTTCTACCGATTGTGAAACACCCCCTTTGAAGCCTTTGTTGAAGGCCGGGGTGCCTTTTTTAGGGTGGCGATTCAAACTCGTTTAGTTGGTGAATTTCAAGCGTTTATAGTTTATACATCATTTTAAGATATTGACGATTTCAGCATTATACATCATTGCATTGCGGGCGCCCACGAGGAACACTAATTGAAATCCGCCACCCGCCCCACTCGCCCCACTCGCCCTACTTGCCCTGGGCTAGCAAATTAATTGAAATCCGCCACTCGCCCCACTCGCCCCACTTGCCTTGGTAGGGAAATTAATTGACTTTGGCCACTCGCCCCACTCGCCCTACTCGACCCCACTCGCCCTACTCGCCCCACTCGCCCTACTCGCCCGACTCGCCCCACTCGCCCGACTCGCCCCACTCCGCCCCACTTGACGGGGGCAAGCGGGGCAAGCGGGGCAAGCGGGGCAAGCGGGGCAAGCGGGGCAAGCGGGGCAAGCGGGGCAAGCGGGGCAAGCGGGGCAAGCGGGGCAAGCGGGGCAAGCTGGGCAAGGGGGCAAGCGGGGCAAGCGGGCACGCGATATACACTGGCAGGCCCCATTTTGCGCAAATTGGAGCTCCCACCTGATAAACGATAATAGTCAAAATTACTTTCCTCGAGTGGCCCCGGTCAACTGGCATTCTGGTTGACATATATATATATATTGAGATTCTATCGGGCATTCTTTCTGGCATTCTATCTGATATTCTATCTGGCATTCTGTCTGAGATTTCATCTGACATATTGCCTGACATTCTATCTGGCATTTTTTATGGGAGTCTATGTGGCATACATTCTGACATCCTATCTGGCATTCTTGCGGGTCTGTGTGTTTCCAGATGCATGTTTCCCAATGTGACTGAACTTGCAAACATTGGCTCTATCTGGTGGTGCCACTTGCCACTGTCAAGATTAGCGGCCCTTGGCTTACCTGTGCTCTCTGAGCCGGGCTGTCGATGGTATCTCGAGCATACAAAAGTACAATCACAAGGATGTATGTTATAACCCGTACTTGGTTAGGCAGTGGGCCGTATGGAAATATAGAGATTTGGTACAGTGGTTCGAACCAAGCCAGTAAGTAGCGACGCAAAGTGTGCTGGTGTATATAATGTCTTGAGCTGTAGATTGCAGATTCTGTTTGTGATTGGGACATCTTGAAGTCAACAGCGAGATGTCAGGAACTCATCTCCCGGCGACAGAAATTCATCATCTGTACCGTTACCACGACTGCCCTATTTGGAGTCTTTTTTTTGCAGTTTATCTTCACGCTCATGCCCGAGGCCGGGGTTGAATTTGGTGGAGTGATTGTGTCTTTGCGGGCAGGATTGGCATTCAGAGATAACGTGAACTTTAGAACCTTGATTTCGAATCTTGTTGCTTGTTTCAGATGTTTCCGAAAGATTTCGTTTTGAGTCATGTCAGCTTTAGACGCTGCGCACTTTTCGGCTCAAGAGAATCTCACAGAGTCGGGTCAGTGAAACTTGCTCATTCCTGAGAGCACGCATCCATCGCCGGACCAGCGCGCATCTTGTCAAGCTGTTGTGAAGTTGCCAACTTCTGGTAGTCGCTGGGCTACTGTGGAACTTTGCCAGCACTTGCTTCCACGGCCATGCATGGCTTGGGAATATACCTTTGATTAATGCTGGGGGCTTTAGCTGCTCCCCGATGATTTCAGATCAGCTGTCTCAAGGGCCAGGAAACGATTCAGCTTCGTTCGAAAAGCGCAGAAAAAGCCGGCTGGCTTGGTTGTGGTCTGTGTCATGCTGCATGCTGCCATTACTTCAAAACCACTCACCTGATTTTCGATTTTTTCCCAGTTTTCCAGGTTCGCAGACCGCGCTGCAGCTGTACTGCACCATGGTGTCCTTGTTTGCGTCAAACACCTTCTCATTATTTTCAATTGTTTTTCTCGATTTTCCTGGTTCGCAGTGCTTGCAGCAGCTGTGCTGCATCATGGTTTCCTTGTTTGCATCAAAATTGCCAGTGCCATGTTGACTGTGCCTATTTGCAACTGTCGCTCCCGTTGCGCTCAAGTTTGATCGCCTGAGCTACTGTTGTCCACCTGTGCCGGGAAATTGACTTAAACAAATACATTCGCTTCATTGGCCGCCATGGAAACGCAAGACATAACTGCGGTACTGCCCAGTGGGAAACAGCAGACTGTCACGCTAGCAGTATCAGCCAAGGTTCAGGAACTCAAAGAGATTTTGCAGCGATGCTTCGATCAACAGTTCTTGGTCATCCTGGACGCGCGAGGTGCGGTGTTGCGGGTCGATGGTATGATTCCTTCGGCTGCAAGCGCACACTGCGTTACATGTGTCGCGCGTTTCCCTTGTCTCGCTTCAACCTGGAAAGCCTTTGCTCTGTGGTGTCACAATGACGTGTAGTGACATGGGGGCATCCTGCCTACGGCTCCGACAGCTCTGGTGTGTGCAAGCGCCTGCGCAAAGTGGTGCAGATCGTTGCCAGCGGCCGCGCTTTTGCCGCGGTGACATCATACGGATCTGTTGTTACCTGGGGCTTGCCGAAGATGGTTGCTGACACTGCAATGGTACGGCAGCAGCTCTATGATGTGAGAAGCGTGACTGCAGCTGCCCAGGGCGAGACACAGGTGCCAAAACCCAAAGCTCATTGAGTTTCTTGTGCCCACTTGGAAAGTCACGCACAAGGAATTGGAGCTCATGGAAAAGAACTTGATTTCGAAAGGGGGGCGCAACGGGGTCCCACCTGCCCAGAAATGCTCTTGGTTCAAAGATGTTGTCCAGGATGGTGACGTGCACCCGCATCCAGGGCCATCAGGACGCAGCCAGCAGATGCAGCTCATGTCTATTAATGTTGGTGGGGCCTCCAACTGCTGGGCGGCGGCCCGATGGGCAACTAAACATCGCCCGCCTGTGGTGGTGGTACAAGAAGTTTGCATGAACACGGCTAAGCAAGCTGACTTGGCTGACTTTATGCTCCGAAATGGTTATAGATCTTGGTTTGCTTGCCCTCCGACCCACGGTGGGGTAGGAATTTTTGTAAGGTTTGATAAATCTGCACACCTCCTCAGAACTCACACCCGTGCCGAAGGTCAAGCGGTCATGCTCCAGCTCGACCACGCCATCCTCATAGGTGCCTATTTAGCGCCTAACTCAGCGGCATGCGACATTGCTTCCACTTTGGATGAATGGGTTGGAGCAACTGGTGAACACACCCCTTTGGTTATTGTGGGTGACTTTAACGAGGAACCTTGTTTTGGGGAAAGGTGGAACCACATAAGCGGATTTGGCGGCACTTGTGCGGTTTGCAATCAGAATGGTGTCCCACAGCCCACGCGGTGGTCTGGTACCCGGTGTATTGATTGGATTTGGGCTTCGCACTTGCTAACAATTGACAAGGTGCGATTTGAAGATGTTTGGTTTTTCGACCATAAGCCCGTTTGTTTTTCTCTGCAATATAGCCAAAGCCATGTTTGGTCCTTTAAGGCAGTTCAAACGAGGAAATGGACGGCGCCGCCAAATGTTTCTTTGCAAGAATGGAAAAATGCTTTAAAAACTCCGTGGTCGGAAGTCACGGTCCCTCCAGTTTCTAATACCAACCAAGAATGGAGTGATTTTTGTCACATTGCGGAGAGGGCACACCTCTCTGCCCTGGAAACCTGCGGGGCTACTGTTCCAAGGCCAAGCCGGAGTAGAAACAAAGGTTCAGAGTTTCAAGTTGAAGCAGCGAATGCTCGTACCTTTCGCATCGCCCAGCAAGCGACTTTCAAAGAACTCCGGCTGCGCAAGCTTTTGGGCCGTATTGCTGAAGCCCAAAACCAGCAAAGCCGTGGCCGCCAGCCACCGGCCATCCTGATCCGTCGTATCTTCTCTCATCCTTTTGTTGTCAGAGAAGGCTTGCAAAGCTTAGGTGAAGCCAGGGAATGGGCACAGCAAGAATTGCGTAGCCATGTCCAAAGCACTCAAACAGAGCAGCTCCAAGCTTGGCGCGAGCGTATGAGGTCCAGTTGCAAAGACGCAGGTCGGTGGGTCAAGAAATGCAACACATTGCCTGTCACTTCTGTTTACGATGATGGTTATAAACAAGGAAAAGCAACCTCTTCTGATCATGAATCCTTAAAGGCTGTTCTTTCTTTTTGGCAAAAAATTTGGGAACGGGACCGGCCCGACCCTGAAGAAGCAGTTGATTTCTGGAAACTTGGTGTTCCCCAACCTTCACCCCTAGCTTGGACCCCTCTCACTGCTGAGGAACTCTTCAGCCAAGCCTCTAGGCTGCGTGGCACAGCCGCCGGATGCGATGGGTGGTCAGGTGACGAAATTGCAGCCTGGCCCAAAGAAGCTTGGGTCATCCTGGTTGAGTTGTTGAACAGATGGTTCTCGAGAAGTGAGGTTCCCACGGTTTGGAAAAGTATTCGGCAAATTTTGCTCCAAAAACCAAACGCTAAGTTGCGTGACACGGATCACGCGTTGCCAGCCAAAGATTTGCGGCCAATTGCGATTCAGAGCGTCATCTGGCGCGCCATTGCCTCTGCGTGGACGCGCAGACCGCAGACGCGAGCTTGGGTCACGAGCTGGGTCCACTCCTCAGCCTGTGGCGGCATCCAGGGGAAAAGTGTTGCTCATGCCGTTGATCGGCTGCTTCAAGACTTTGAAAAGAGACAGGGCGGGGTCCTCCTTTCTTTAGATTTTTCTAAATGTTTCGACACCGTTGATCCCCGAATTGGAATTAAATGCCTTGAGTATCTAGGTTGCCCCAAGGAAATCCTCTTTGCTCTTACCTCAGTTTGGAGCCAGGAAAGGTGGTTGTGTTTCAGAAGAGATTGCCTGCCGCAGCCAGTGCAGGTCGACACTTCGATCCCTCAGGGAGACGCCATCAGCCCTTTGACTCTTCTTGCGGTCCTCACTGGCCTCACAGGCCGGGTGTTGCAAGCAAGGCCTGAACCACACACTTTGGTCACCTTTTTGGATGACCGAAACATGGTGGCTAAAACGCCCGAGCTAGCGGCCCGGTTGTGGGACACCTGGAAACAGCTCTCACCGAAGGTGGGTTTGAAAGAGAACGAAGAAAAAATTCAAATCGTGGCTCGGCAAGCTGCCTTTAAGCCCAGATTGATTGCCGCGGGTTTCGACGAAACTCACATTGTGCAAGGTGCTAGAGTTCTAGGGGTTGATTTTACGGCACGGTTAGGAGCTGCGCACAAGCCTTCTCAAGATGCGAGGCTGCAAGATGCCCGCTTGAGGGTCGAAAGAATTGGACTTCTGCCTGTTACAGCCAGTCTTAAAGCTTTCTTGGTCAGTTCTTTGGCAATTACAAAAGCTGCATGGGGGGCTTGGCTCAAACCCCTCTCTGCCAAACCTTTGTCCACTTGCATTCGAAAAACGACTGGTGGCAGCCATATTGCTGGCTCCCCCAATTTGTTTTACATGCTCTCAGGTCATAGGCTGAACTTAAATTTTGCTGCAGGTTTTGGAGCTTATATTCACTTGGCTCCTATTGTGCGTGAAAACCCACGGCGTTGGCCCAATGCTGCTACCAGAGGTACATGGCTCGGCACGGTCCGTAGCTGGCTCCAAAGTTTGAATTGGCATGAAGAGGCCGCATGGACATGGATTCACCCGGACATTCAATTCCGGCTTGATTGGACACAACCCATTGATGAAAACACCAAACAGAGAGAACACCATGCTTTGCGTGAAGCGTGGCGCAGACAACAGTTTCAACAGTTCCTGTCAAGTGGCCGTCGTGATGCCACTGCTGTACAAGGAAGTGTTTATCAAGAGGCCAGGGCCAAACTCACGCGCCAAACATACCAGTCTTCCAACACTCATGCACGTGCTTGCTTGATTGGTGCCGTTGTTTCAGATGCCCGTTTAGATAGGATTCGAGACCCCAACACCGCACCAGCTCCTTGCAAGTGGTGTGCGTCTGGCAATGTGCCAACATGGGATCACTTGGCCTGGGACTGCCCAGCCTTTGCTGCGACCCGAACGTCGCCCCTGCATGATCTTTTGCAGAGAGTGCTAGGTTGGCCAACAGGCCGGAATGAACAGGTTGATGCTGCGATCTTGACCCACTTGGGCTGTGTCCGAGAGCGTGTGCTGGATCGAAGATATCGCAGCAACTAAGGTTCTTGAATTTCTTGGGTCGCAGTGTCTACTTGGCCTGGTGATGTGCCCACCTGGCATCACCTTGCGTGGGAATGCTCTGCTTTTAGAGACACGCGTGGCGCTGTGCCACAAGATCCTTTGCAAAGAGTACTTGGCTGGCCGTTTGGCCAAGACCACCAGACTGATGCATCCGTTCTTGAACACTTGGGCAACGTTCGGGAGCGAATGCTTGATCGCCGATATCGCGGCAACTAAGGATTCATTCTTCGGGTGATGGTGTCTACTTGGCCCATTACCTTCCAAAACAAGTTTTTCATTTGCCGCCCTTCGTCATGATGGGTCTGTCGTCACCTGGGGTGATCCGTCGTGTGGCGGAGATAGGCCAAACTGAAGGGAGTGACGCAGATTCACAGCACGCATACTGCATTCGCTGCCATTGTGTTGGATGGGTCCGTGGTTGCTTGGGGAGACCCTATAGTAATGGAGGAGACAGCTCGATGGTCCAAGACCGACTTCAAGGCATTGTGAATGTTCAGGGCCTTATGCATTTGCAGCTGTCACGGAGGAAGGGTCGCTTGTCACCTGGGGAAAGGCCACCTTGCGAGGCGATAGTTCTGTGATACGAGAAAGTCCGGCAAGTCACACCCTCTTTGAAAGGGTTCTTTGCCAATGCTGACGGATGTCAAGTTACATGGGTCTGCCAAAGCGTTTGCAGCAGTGCGCTACAATGGATCCATTGTTACATGGGGAGCGCAGGACGGAGGCGGGGACAGCTCCGCAGTGCAATCTGCGTTTGCCACTTTCTAGTTGCAGTGGCCATTAATGTTGCTACTGCAGCTGCGGCAAAATTAGACATCTTCACAAACTTGGACATATGGTATAGACAAACAGGTCTGCGGCACAGCCTGCTATGGTGTAAAAATTTGCGATGGGAAGCTGGGCGCAATGGTAATCTAGTGGTCGAAATGGTCGGGACATCCTCTCAATTCCTCAGATGCACTGTCTGCTGCAGCTGCCCTGCATGCTCAGAGAACCTCATGCTTTTTAACTACAGTGTGGTGTAGCATTTGCTTGTCTGCGCCTATCTTCATCCGTTGGGCTCAAATTTAGGCACGTATTGTCAACCTGTGCTCTCCGAGCCGGGCGATTGACGTAGACATCGTGACATTGAGCTGATATGTAGATGTACGTGTTCATGCTGTGAACAAGATCATCATTGTCATTTACAACCTTGTAGCTCTGCTTTGAAGCCGTGGCCGACGAAGCGCAAGCGACTCGGCGAGCCTTCACCATTCAGGGGCCGCAGGTTGCCTTAGCTATGCTGCGAGGTTCCAAACGTATAGAATCTCGGAAGAGGCGGATGGCATCTGACTGGTACTATTTTCACGTTGGCCGTTAATCAATCAACAGCTTGCCCCCCGAATGTTCGGCCGCCCTGCGCCAGACATGGCCGGATGCGCCAGAGGAAGCTTCTTTGTCCAAAAGTTGCGTGGTTGGGATGGTGTGCCTAGGGAAGGTGATTCACAAAAGCCGAAGTTGGCAAAAGCACCAGCATCAGAAGCCTTGCAGGCCAGCACAAGCCCGCAGAGGGGACCTGACCGTTGCAGTCTTGCCCAACGGCTGGCAGCAGGAAGGACGTTGGAGCTGCTGACAACACTGATGGTAGTGCATTTCCTGAAGATCTGTGCTGCCAAAGTCACACAGTTGCAGCCCAGAGGAGGTCTCTTTGCTTTCCGGGACGATCAGCCGGTGTTCATTCTGAGTGTATGGACAAGCAGAAAAATTACTTTGGCTGATGTGGTTCCATTGAAGCAGGCAACTTTTCAAGGACGAACCGTCCTCAAAGCCAAATACACAGAGACCCGCACATGCAGATGGAGTGAGCTCAAAGATGTCGGCTTACATTTCCAGGTTGCCAACTGTGCGAATGATCGCCGTGGAGCGAGTGGCTTGGCCTCGATGATTTTTTGTAACATGTTGCCATCCTTTAAAGAGAGACCCGCAACAGATTGTTTTTATGTAGCCTTGCATGCCTAGGCTTGCTGTTCCAGAAGCAACCGGGGGAACACAAGGAGATCAAGGCAGAGCTTTGCGCGAGAATGCAGCTTTGGCAGCTCTCTGGCAGGCTGGCAATGCAGAGCTAGGTTTGGCCACTTCATGCACAGTTGATCACTCGGTGCGATCCGTTCTGCCACGTTTGCAGGCGCACCTGGCCGAACGAGCTGCTTCAGGTATTACCCATCACGCGGCCCCACGCGCAGATGAGAGCCGTTCCTTTTGGATTCTGGACCTGCCATTGCCAGTGCAAGTGGATGGTCGCCGCCATCGCTGCCATACGTGCGCGCACTTGCGCATCTTCGACAACTGCACCGTGGAGACACATGATGTTGTTGCAGCCTATCCTGACCTGCCCTGCTGGTGCACTACGTGAAGAAGCAAGCCCCTTTTTTGCTGACACGGCGATTCCTGCTCCATTTGGTGCAGCTGTTCTACGACCGCCTCAACTCTAGGGCAACGAGGCGGGCTTTGGTGGAGCAAATCTGTGGCAATGCTCTTTCCCTCAATGTAGCTGGGCGCATGAAAGAATTTTGCAGTGCAGTGCCCAAATCTGTATCCATCCGCTCCATTCTCATGGCAGCATTGGAAGATTACACCAAGGCAGCTTCACGCGAGATGCAGCGGCTCATCAATGTGTACAGTGGTTCAGTGATCAGAGGAGATGGAAACCAGGATGTAGCAAAAAGGATTACAATGTATGATGAAGCAGGTCAGAAAACACACCCATATACGGTGCTCCTAGCTTGGGTCACGGTAGACGGGGCCTTGTTTCAGCCTGTAACAGCAGCTGAAACAGAAGACTGGGTCGACTTGCAACCTGATCTGGATGCTGTGGTAACCAACCTGAAACAGGACAGGCTGGCATCAGGCCTGTCCTTAGCTGAGGCAGCCCCAGTAGCTCACGCCACGGACAGTTTCAGAAAGCAGCGATTGCTGCTTGATGCATTTTACAAAAACAAGTACCCCAAGGAGCAAGAGGTGGAGGCGTGTCTCCAACCATCGTATGCGGAGATCCGCTGCATGACCAGTTGGCGCTACAGCGCAAGGTAAGTGCAGCGAGTCCAGATGCCCCATGCCTCATTGCTGATCACAAAGACATCCTGCAGCGGTTGTCCTTGAAACCAAGGGTGGCAGAAGATGTTCCACCTGTGCTCTCTGAGCCAGTTCTTTTCCTTGAGCTTGAAGAGGTCCATCATCCTCTATTGAAGCCGTATTGCTGCAGCACAGGTAATAAGAAATCGCTTCTTTCTTGCTTTGTTCTTGCTTGGACAGATTTGGACAGATCGGACAAGTTTGTGAAGCACGGCAGAGAAATATTGATCTGCTATGATCTGCTCGTCGGTTCCCCATACCGGATGTCCACTGCTGCACTGCATGATCTGACTGTTGCCAGCTATTCGCCTATATGTGCCTCTGTTGCCTTTGTTTTGGTTGAAAACTCGGGTCGACTGAATTAGTTCTGTCTACCTGTGTTCTCGGAGCCGGGCAATGTCAGGACAGTATATCATTGAGTCATTGAATCTATTAATGCAACACAATCACACACACACAAGCAGCATCAGAGTCACCCTTTTAAAGCCTCTAGCCCTATGTTAATGGCAACGCAGCGCCCTTTCTGCTGACGCCGCAAGATGCTTCCCCCCGGTGATGCTGGGTATGGAATTTGGCCGGGCAATTTTTATTGTGGTGTGCGATCCATGGCTCCGTTTGGTGCGTGGCTCCCTTGGCAGGAGGGTGTGACCTTAGCTGCAGCCTTTGGCTTCACAGAGAATGTATGCTTTGAATGTGCTGACACCTGGTTGCAGCTGGATGCTCTGGAATTTGACCCTCCAAGGCGGTCTGGAGATGGCAGCGGCCGGGCAGATGTGCAGCGGATTCGCTTGCTCTACAAGCCTGATTTACACGGAGATGATGGGCTCGTTATAGTTTCCTCTGACGAGGAGGATGTCATCTCCCCGCAGCATGCTCCACCAGACGTATGTACATAGACGCTGGCGTTCAGGTGCATTAGAGCCCCATTGCGGGTGTTGAAGTTGACCTTGCATTGCCGCGGGCGCTGGATGAGCAAAATGTTCGTCTCTTGCTTGTCTACTGGCACCTGTACAGTCAAGTTGATCAAGAACGTCCGCCTGAAAATTTGCCGCCAGACATTCCGCTATGGGCTTGGGAGTTGTTTTCAAAACCAAGATTTCATTGGACTGAGGCTCGGGTTCAAGCGTTGCAAGAATCTTGTTTGCAGACGCTGCAGGCCGCAGACCACAAATTATCCGTACCTGATTAGCGCCGCGCTGGCTTCGTCCACTGCGACCTGTGGGTCTCAATGGCATGGACGATATTGTGCTCTCAATCGCAAGAAACTTCCAGAAAGCAGTCCTTTTGTACACTAGGCCAAGCAGTTTTTGATAATGTCGCGAGGTTAAAAAATTCGCTGCGCGCTGCAGAAGTGTTGAAACTGAGAGATGTGGAGGGCATGTGAACATTTTCACATTGTTCCGGCTGTCCACGCAGCGCAGCATGAGAGCCAGTTTGGTTGCATGGAGTCGATATCACGCTTGGGACTGCAAAGGCAAATCCGACAAATATGACCATGATACCACGCATTGACAAGTGCTCTCCGGTACCCAAGCCGCGCCATCAAGTTCAAGTTGTAGGAGTTAGCTTCCTAGACATGGCCACGTGTGAAGTTTGTGGAGATGGTTTCGCAGACGATGCGGAAAAACACTTGTGCTCCCCGAGCCGAGACTCTTGCTCGCACGTGTGCCACGCGGATTGCTTGCAGCAATACCGATTAAAGCAGGGCTGCCCTATGCATGACTGCCCATTCTGTCTTCAGAATGAAGATTCCCAGGAAGAGGCTGATGATGCCGCTTTGCAAGAGATGGAGATTGAGGCAGCAATGGAAGCAGAGGCTGTGGCTGAGGGGGTAAAAAGAAAGACCAGAGGACAACGCAGCCCAGTGCCGCCCACCCAAAGGTCCCCAAGCCCAGAAAGCCCTCCCTTCACACAGGGTGGAAGTGAAGCAGCCCGCTTGTCCATTCCAAGCTTTGGGATTGACATCTACGACCTGAGTCGGACCAGCAAGGCATCTACCACGGTGAAGGATCCTATGCACGACGCCATGTCGGAGTACTTGGCTTGCAGGGATGAAGCACAAAGCCTTTCGTTGCTTCACACCAAGAGCACATATCAAGGGCTTGGAAGCCCAGAGGCTTCTTATCAAACCGTTCTGAATGCAGCTTTGAAAGACCCCAGGGACCACCACGCTGTGGCATCAGACTTTGCCTTCAGAACTCGAGAAGTGCTGCCCGTGCCTTTCGAAGTCAGCTTGAAAACCATTGCCCGCAAGGAAGGTTGGGAGCCTGAGACATTCATGGCGCCTATCCTCAGCAACATTGGTTGGATGGAGCATCCATGCAGGCACGCGGCTTCGATTGCAGCCTGATGAGGAGCACCGACGTGGCTGCGTAGTCTAGATTGTTTGCGCAGGTGACCCCAGCATGCGCAAGAGTTTACCAGCAAAAAGCTTCTTTCCCATGCAGATGTCCCTGCTGTCATCAAGGCAGGTGGCGCCACATGCACGGATGCCACCATCAAGGGTATTCGTGCTTCTATCAAAGAATATGCCCGAGCTGGCATCATTTCGGATGAGATTGCCACAACATATGCCGTGACATCCGGGAGGGAGACCCGACACTCAGGTCTGCATTACGGCAACAAAGAAAAGATGTGCACTTGGCTGAACTGCGAAGATGACAAGACAGTCACTGGAGATGGTGCCACGGCGCTGACTCATTACACCTTCGTTCACCAAGTGTATGGACAGGTGTCGCTTTGCGAGTATGTGCTCCAGCCGACTGCAAGCATGTTTTCCAAGAGAATCCATGCGACGTGGCAAACAAGGCCAGTGACAAGTGACCCTGATCAGCAGAGCCAGTCCAGCAAAGAGTTCCTGATTGACTTCTTTGGTTGGATGGGGCGCGTGGCAAGCAACCAGGACAAAGACCACTATTTTGACAAGTTCGCCTTGCCCGTGCTCAGGAAGGCTTTGCAGGGAATCTCCGACTTCTTTCACGAGAATCACGAGAATGTAGAAGAACCAATCTAACAGAAGCTACGCTATGCTGACACAGATGTGGCTCGGTACGCTAATGCAGCCATGCGTTGCAGGCAGTATTCTGAGGCCCGCTGCGCGTTGGCCCTTGATAGGATCATAGATGAGTTTGCCGTTGAGATGACCGTCTTCGATTTGTGACATGCCTTGCATATCTGGCGTCGCCAAATGTGCTTGTGGTTTGCCTTCTATCGCTCCAAGCAAGTCCAAGCCTTGGTAGGCCCCAAAGCCGTGCCAGATGTCAAGACCCCAGGACTTGCAGATTTGGATGCCAAGATGAAATTGCAGCGAGTTCATTCTGTCCAATCCTCGATGTGCTGGTCCAACCTCCACTGCGCACATTCGCTCTGTTCTGAAGTACCACTTTCAGAAGGAGAAAGAGGAAAAACCAGCAAAGTACGTCTTGGCAGCAGTCAAAGACCTCTTGAAAGTTGGCATCTTGCAAGAGGTTGACAAGAAGGAAGTGGAAGAACAGGCGCCCAAACTTAAGGACAAGAAAAGCGCCAAGAGCAAGGAGGCCACGCTAAAGAGCGAGCCACGAGGCCCGCCAGGTGGCCACGCTGTCCTGTACTACCAGACATGTGCCTGGGAAGGCCTTTTGACTAATTCGGAAGCTCAAGACATGATTGCCAAGCTGCAACTGAGTGCCAATGATTTCAAGTAGGATTCCAGAAATACGAGGTCTTGCACGGTCCCATGTCTAAACTGTCAGCCCAAAAAAGAGTGACAATGTGCTCCAAAGCACTTGTTGTATATAAGTCTTGTTTCCAAAGATACGCGTCAATAATGGTGCGATTCCCCGAGCGTGTTCCTGACCCTACGAGGTGAATGCTTTCAATCAAGACGGTATGGTGGCTGCAACATATTGTGCGTCAATTTCAATCAACCCACCCATTTTCATGACAAGACATTGTGGTGTGAAGATCTTACATAGTGGTTCATCATCGTGTCCAAAGCCACATTCAAAACAGTCTGCTTGGCCTTCTAGTGTTCAATCGTGTGCGCTGGTGGCATGAGATTGACAAAGGCCCAATCTACTCTTTTTGAGGCAAAGCGGACAGCCAACACCGCGGCTCCAAAATAGTTTGTGCGGCGCATGTGAAGCCA